CCCGGCTGCCCTTTTAGGAACTTGTGGAGACTTCAGTGCATAGGCATGACTAGTGCATGGATAACTTGTGAAAATACAATTCCACAAAAAGGATATGACCCTGGATAATTGAAAGTTTAAAAAAATGAAACTCAATAAATAGGATGACTGTATCTTACAAGTAACATCATTCATATTTTAGGCTTAGTTTGGTAGCTCTATCTATGATGAATAATGTGGAGAAAACAGGGAGACCAACAAGGGGTCTTGAGACTCTGGGCAAAAAAAGAGAGAAAGGAGGGCTGGAGAGATGACTCAGTGGTTATGAGTCATCTGAGTTCAGTCCCCAGTGTTCACATCGGGCAGCTCACAGCCACTTGTAAGTCCAGCTCCAAGGGATGACACCTTTTGGCCTCGGTGGGTACCTGTATTTATGTGCACATACCTACGCATAGACACACATACACAATTAAATAAAATATAAAATAAAAGAAACAAAAAGGGGGAAAGGAATATTTATTTCACTTGAAAGTTGGTGGACTGGAGAGATGGCTCAGCAATTAAGGGCATTTGTTGCTCTTGCAGAGGATGCAGGTTTGGTTCTCAGCACCCATGAGGTCTCACAATTATCTGTAACTCTAGTTCCAGAGAGTCTGGGGCCCTCTTTTTGGCCTCCACTGGCACCAGGCATGCATTTGGTGCACATACACACATACAAGCAGGCCAACACTCATACACATAAACAAATAAACAAAAATCTTAAAATTAAAAACCACTTCAAGGTGGTCAGTCTTGGTGGCTCATCCCTGTGATCCCAGCAGTGGAGAGGATGAGGCAGGACTGCTGGGATCCAGGCTAGTTTGCATTACAGAGTGAGATATTTTCTCAAAAAACAAAACAGAACAACATGCCACGAGGTAGAATTGTTTTGTACTGGGTGAGTGCTGAGGGAAAGGATATAATGATGACTCCCTGGTTTTCAGTGAAGTCATTTACAAGACAGAAGAAACCAAGGAGGAAAAGGATTAGGATTCCACAGTGAAAAATCCGCAGTCTCACACTGATCATGTTATGTAGGAATCAGTCACATTTTATTAAGTGGATAGTAGACTATTTCCATGTAGTTAGATCCCTGATGTGAGGTCTGAGGAGAATAGACAATTTACCAGTTGTATAAATATTTCTTTCTTTCTCTCTCTCTCTCTTTCCTTCTTTCTCTCTCTCTCT